ACTGATCATCAAGTTAAAAGCCTAAAATAACTCGAATTGTTTAAGTTGACTTGTTTAAGTTAACAAGCTGCAGGACGTCGAAGACACGTAGAGCAAGTAAATGACACAGAACAAATAACAGATCTATACATATAATAAAAATGTAAATAGCCGATGTCTGTACATTTTAGATTTATGTAATAAAAGTGATTGAGTGGTACTAAAAATAAGTAATTAAATACATTTCTACCATTTTTAGAATTTTCTGTCTGTCTGTCTGTCTGTCTGTCTGTTTGTTTGTTAACGTATCACGTATAAAGTACCAATTTATATCAGAAGAATCGTTACAGAATTTATAAAGTGTATCTTCAGGTTACATTTAGTCTTTATTTCATTAAAATTAGTTCATTCCATCAAAAGTTATGATAAATATTCTGAAGTATGGCTACAAAGTATAGGTACGAATTTGTTCAATGGTGGCGTTTGTTGAGTCATCAAGTATATTTTAAACTAATATCATATTATAAGTCATAACATAATTAAATGATGTAAAATAATGTTCTATAATGATGAAATTATATCTAAAACGCAGTAAACAAAAGTATTGCATAAAGAACGTAATAAATATATTAAAAAATATATTAACCTTACTATGTAAACAAAAGTACAATAGTTAACCCATTTCATCGATAGATGGTGGTGTTGCACAAATGTCATGCAAGAAGGCAGGTTGTGGTTTTTTTTCTGTAAATGACTTTTCATATTTGCTGTTAATCTTTAAATTACTCGCTGCCCTACTGTGTATTGACAATGTCATTTATTCTTTACCGCCGAGTACTCTACATGGTAAATCAAATTTTAAAAGAGCTATTAACAATTTCGTTGGTTTTGGCGAGGATCAAACTTTCTTTCTTGCTTACGATGTAGGCCTGATTTATAAGTTCTTTTAAGTTTTTTTATTGTATCAATCGCGTCAATTAATCTCTTTTATTTTTAGAATTGATTTTAACAGCGCCATCTATCCTTATATCTCTATACATGCGGTAATCACATGCTGTGTCTGATTCTGTACATTGTACAGTATATTAATTTGTGACTAAAATCATTATGGAGACTGAAACTCATTAAATAAGTACATTTTTATAATTTTTAGAATTGTCTGTCTGTCTGTTTGTTTATGAACGCATCACGTCTTAAGTAATCATCTTTTTTTCAAAGAAATTGTTTAGAAAATCATAAAGCGTATCATCCAGTTCAAAGATTAATTTTGTTTTATTAAAATTGGTTAATTCTATCGAAAGTTTTGATTATTATTTTGAAATGTAGGTTCGATTTGTTTAAAGGCGCCATAAAACCTCAGAAATAGTAATAAAATGATTCCTTTTTATAAAAAAACGTTTTATTATAATATATTTATACTTTAAACACAGTAAACAAAAAATATGTTTTCCTTAAATTAAAAAAGGATGTCTTCCACGAAGAACGTAATAGATGGCGTTGTACGTTAACGAGTCCATTCAAGCTGAAAGAGCCGTGTAGGGTGTAAGCTAACAGCACAAACATCATCAAAAACAGATATCAGAAAAAAGATACGTACGCCCAAGCTAAACGTAGCAAAATTGCATCAAAAACAATATGTCATGATGTTGTTTTATACCAAGAATCCACCTTATATCAAATAACTTTCCTTTCAGTTCTAAGCGTGTTCTGTTCCCACTTCCCATTCCCAGTCAGCGTGTGTTATGCGATGACCGATGACCGTAAATAAAGCGCACTTTACGCGTTGCAAGAGTGGACCTCAGTACTGACTGTTTTGCACATGGCCAACTCTATGTTGCTTTTTCCCGCGTTAGTAGCTCCCGTAACATTTTTCTGTACGCCCCGGCTGTCTACTTCTAACGTCGTTTACACAGAAGTTCTATCACAAACGAGTCAGAACTTTGAGCATAACGATTAATTTGGGTGCCACTTATTCATACAGTAATGATATAAATCTTTTAATATTCTCTTACCTAAACGTCAAATTCTTTAAGTAAAACCTATATACGCGAGCTACGCCGCGGGCACAGCTAGTTCTAAATAAAACAAAAAGTAAAAAAACATTCCATACATTTACTACATTAATATTACCTACCTTTATTTTAAGCATAAAAATAAATCTTAATAAATAGTTTTTTTTTTAACGTGGTAGAGCCATGCTGCAGCTATATTAATAGTATAGTTGTAGCACGAATGGGTCGGTTCGACCGGGGAAGGACCACGTTCTCACAGAATACCAACGTAAAAATTTTTTTAAAGGAGAGGGGGCAAACGAGCATGCGGCTCACCTGATGGTAAGTGACTACCGCCGCCCATGAACAACTGCAACACCAGGGAGGGAATTGCAGATGCGTTGCCGGCCTTTTAAAAAGGAGTACGCTCTTTTCTTGAAGGTCCCTAAGTCGTATCGTCCGGAAAAATCGCTGATGGTAATCGATTCCACAAGGAAGTCGTGCGAGGAAAAAACATCTTCTAAATCGCACAGTGGTGGACCGCCAATCATCCAGATGGTGTGGATGGTATCGGGAGTTCTGCCGCGATGTGCGTTCGTGAAATTTGGCGGCTGGGATTAATCCGAACAATTCCTCAGAGCACTCCCCATGGTAGATGCGAAAGAAAATGCAAAGGGATGCAACATCTCTTCGCAGTGCCAATGAATCGAGCCGATCGGAAAGGGCTCGGTCGTCGACGATTCGAGCCGCTCTGCGCTGGATGCGGTCAAGTGGAAGGAGCTGGCACTGGGGAGCCCCTGCCCAGAGATGGGAACAGTATTCCATGTGAGGCCGAACCTGCGCCTTGTAAAGTTGCAGGAGGTGTGCCGGCATGAAATACTGTCCCGCTCTGCTAAGCACGCCAAGCTTTTTAGAGGCCAATTTGGCCTTCTCTTCCAAGTGACCACGAAACTGCACGTCACTCGATATGTTGACTCCGAGGATTCCGATACTGGCTGCGGCAAGAAGGGGAGTGCCTTAAAACTGAGGAGATACGACAAAGGGGTTCTTTTTAGCGGTAAACGCGCAAACTTATGTCTTCTGAGGATTAAACTGGACTAGATTTAGGCGCCCCCAATCCGAGACTTTGTTCAGCAAAGACTCGACTATAACAGCTTAATGCTGCTGTGTTTCGTATGGTGAGTGTAGAGAACCGGAGATCTATTTTACTGGAAAAGAGGCATTCTATCTTAGTCCTCACGGCTGACAACGCATCTGCATTTTAATTCGCAAACGAAGATAGATGTAGATGTCTATGGGCCACATTAACTACTTATCATCAGGTGGACTGTGTGCTCGTTTGTCACCCTAATTCTATAAAAAAGTGAATTAAATGACTTATAAAAGTCTGTAACTAGTTTAACTTCTGATGAACAAAAAGTTTAAATGTTTATAAAATTTAAGTGACAAACAAACTTACAGTCCACCTGCTATTTAGTGGGTACTGCAGTCCTAGGACACCTGCAACCAACTCCAAACAAAGAGATGTGTTGCCACCTCTGAGGACTAAGGTGGAATGCCACACAGATTTGAACTATACTGACTCTCGATACCCTTAAGATATATAACATAGTTCTGCTTGCACTGCTATGTTTATTTGACGCCAGAAATAAGCAAAAGATGGTATACCTACTTACCCAAACGAATAAATAATACAGGAGAAAAATAAGTACATACGTATTCGAAATCGTATATCAAATTTCATCTGATTAAATATCAATTAACCATAAGAAGTAACAACTGCACTAATCGTACAATGTTTTCAACTTAAAAATTAGTATCACAAAAATGAAGTAAGACAATGAGCATTGCCTCTGACATTAACCTTAACCTATAAAATGCGTCACGATCGTGCACAATGTTTGAACATTAGTAACTAATGCTTTTGTAATATTTTAAACAGTTTTAATAACAGACAAAATTATAAAATAATAATTAAGAATTGAGCATAAGCAAGTTTATATGTTTCAATTCATTTAATTGGTGTTCCATGTCGAAATTCGGAATCACCTCGTTGTCTGTCACTGTGTCTATTCACAAACGTTAGAAATATTTTCACGATCACTAAATATATGTAAATAAATAAACTAAAAAAAATTACACACATCCAATTAGCAAGAGCTTTAGCATTATGACACTTAGCATGTCATTGCTAATAAATTGGTAAAATATCTAACATGAAACATAGACAGATACATAGCGTTTTTTCAAAAACATTCTTTAAGTTTTCGGATAAAATATGGCCTAGATCCCTCCTGGCGTTGCTCTCTATCTGTTCGTAAAGTTTCATCACAATCGGTTCAGCCATTCCGGAAATTAAGCCTGGACCGACAGACATACAGACAAAATTTTTAAAAACCGACCAAGTGCAAGTCGGACTCGCGTATGTAGGGTTCCGTACCATCTTAATACACGTTTATAGTAGGGGAGCCCCTTTTAATTTTTAATTATTTTTTTTTGTTATACCGACTATAGAAATACCCATTCTGTGAAAATTTTAACTGTCTACCTATATGGATCATCAAACACAGCCTGATGACAGACAGGCGGAGCTTGGTACTAAGCGGAGGCTTAGTAATAGGTTCCCGTTGATTACCCATTGGGTAAGGAACCCTAAAAATGATTATTCATGTCTCGATACCATGCAAATAATCCTCTAAGCTTATTAGAATACAGTTATTTCAATATTACAGACAGACACGTCTTTATTTATGTGGTAGCGTATGAAATTTATTGTCTCTTTTTTATGTTTTTGAGAAAATAAGTTACTACAGTAGCATTGCTCCTGTATCGTGGACGCTGTTTACATATATAAATTGCACAAGGACACGTGTCCAGACCCAGAGCAATTATTTGTGGGCCAAACAAACACTTGTTCCGGGTGGTATTCAAACCCGCTTAACCACTGCGCTACGGAGCCGTTAAAGACAAAAAAGTTCTAATATCAATTAAATATCTTTTGCAGGTGACTGTGAATGCCGGGCCGTATGGATGGCGACGCAAGCCTGGCGGTCGCTCGCCCTACTCCTTTTTACCACGTCCCTCGTTATAGCTAGATGTAAGTATAAATTTTATTGATGGTAAACACTCACTTTATTTTTACACATTGTGTCAGGGTAGATTAAATGAAACTAATTATTACGGATTTTATCGCGTTTAATTTAAATTTTTAATTCCCGGTCACGAAACGTCGAAATCCGAAACGTCGGGGATTAAAAAGTTAAATTAAACGCGATAAAATCCGTAAAAATTAGTTTCATTTAATTTGTAGTCTTCGCGTAATTATAAGAAATCATTATGTATCAGGGTAGAGTTGTGGTAGAGCCATGCTACAGAGCATTATAGCTGTATCAAGAATGAGTTGGCTCGTCCGGGGAAGGACGTCCATGCACTACAAAATATCAGTTTTAAGGTGTTGTGTCTCATATAATCATTAACAAGAATTACCTGGGAATAGAGAGTGCACCTGTGCTTGCGCATTTACTTTGGCACTATAATCCTGTCCGGCGCCGATGGCGAGTCTCTGTTTAGGCTGGCCGCTGTGACTGAAATTCGGTCTGGAGGACATTATTGGATTCGAAATTTTAATATAACTAGTAAAAAGGATGTTATATATTATAACATCCTTTTTACTAGTAGTTTACTTTACTTACTACTAGTCCTCTACTTATTAGATGCGCTGTAATTATATTGGCTCTCCATACACTTTAAACTGGAACACAGTGGACCTCAAGTTACTATTTCTTATTTTTTTAAATGCCTTTTAATAACTTACGGAATGTCGATACTTAATTTTATTTTGTTAACATAGTTTAAGACAAATAGCACAGGATTATAAATCTTCATGCAATTGTGAAAGTTTGAAAAATTTGTTAAACATTATTTTTAATGGTTTTGTACAAAAACGAGCACACAGTCCACCTGATGGTAAGTGGTTACTGTGGCCCATAGACATCTACATTTATCCTCGTTTGCGAATCAAGATGCGTTGTCACCCGTGAGGACTAAGATGGAATGCCTCTTTTCCACTAAAAAGGGTCTCCGGTTCTCTACACTCACCATACGAAACACAGCAGTGTTAAGCTGCTATTTTACGCTGGTATTCTGTGAGAGCGTGGTCCTTCCCCGGTCAAGCCGACCCATTCGTGCTACAACTATACTACTAATATAGCTCCAGCATGGCTCAACCACGTCGTGGTTAGTTTATAATAGGTTTAATTTAGTTTTCACCCACTTCCGGGCGTCTGAAAAAATTCGAAAGAAATATTTTCAGTACAATAATTTCATTATTATAGACTAATATTTTCGCTTCGCTAGGATCATTACAGCTCATGAAAATTGCGTGTTAAGTTTTTTTAAACCTTTATTTTATTATTTGATACTAAGCAATGTTACCTGTTGCAATTAATAGCTACACCATCACGAGGGATTAAATCCCTGCGAAGCTCAGCATATAGAATGCAATATAAAACTTTAGACATAAACCTTTACTTTTGTATGCCAATAATGTAAGGTGTTTAGAGCCAAAATTAAATAGCTAAGATTTTCATGGAATTGGATCTCGGATCTTTTTGACCATTTAAATAAAATTGAAGTGTCTGTCAGTAACATAGAATATACTGGCGTATAAACGACCTGACAGCCCGAAAACGCGTTATTAATTTTGATTTTTCATTGTGTGCGTTAGCTAGTGACATAAATTTTACTTACAAGGACTATTAAAAAATAATTGTTAAGGAAGCGGTAAATATATTTAAAAAAAATTGTTTAGTGCAAGAAATTAAATAACTTCAAAAATTAACTGAATTTTTACCATGATAGTTCTAAAATAATTAAAAACTATTCATATAACATATTCCTGGGAGTAAGCTGAACCTACTTGCCTTTTCTTGGATTTTAATTCAAATGTAAAAAATCCCAGGTGACACTACCGATAAACTTATAAAAAACTCCCCAAGAATTAGATCGGAATGTTGTATTTTCGTGTTATGATCTTTGGAGAAAAATATTTACTGCCATGAATAGTTTCCCCGGAATTTCTTTTTTAACATATTGTTAATATAAATAGATGGATACTCAACAAAATATATACCTATTTACATTTTATATATTTTTATACTATGTTTTGATGGGGCAATAAAAAACAGGGACATGGAGTACATAATGGCTGCTTTATTTTTCATATAAGTATTAGTTTTGATAACTGCAAACATTTTATAATTAATAATTAAAGACATTATAGAATATTATTTTAACATTTCACTTAAATATGAATATAAACTTCATAATTAATATATTCATAATAAATAAGGAAAATTGTAGGAATCAGTTAAATAAGATGGCTCTGTTTAAAGGCCAATATGTTTATGAGGCTCCATCATGCTTCATGTTTATATTCTTTCATCTGTCCCTGAAAAGTATAAAGTAATAATAAGAATGCATGAATTTTTAAAACATAATGATCTTAACAGAGTAAAGTGCACCAAGTGTCTGAGGATACAAATGCACCCTCTATTCTCTCAATCTCGGTATGTTAAGAAAATGGTCACTCATTCATGGACTGACCGCGGCAAGCAGGGGCGTAGCTACCGCCGTATCAGCCGTATCAATGATACGGGGCCCCCGGGCTACAGGGGCCCCGAACGTGTGTAAACAAAAATTCCAAGGACTTCTATGGGATAGGAAAGGCTGTCACTATCGTCTATAGAAGCAAAGAATTTAGAAAAATTTAAATCGTCTTTAGCTATGAATGCCGCCGAATCGTCTTCAGCTATGTTCGCTGAACAAAAGGCAAGAAAAGTGTATATTTGATTTTAGTTGTTTGGCTAGCTTAGTAGTTAGAGTATTAATTGTAAATAATAACGAATATCACCGTGTAATAATCCCCGTGTAGTGGCGGGTAAGAATAATCTCCACCCCATATCTTCCCATGGGTGTCGTAAGAGCCGACAGAGAGAAACCGAGGCAGAAGATGGGCAGCAGCGTCTTTCTGATAACAGCAAAACAACAATAAAAAACTGCGGTTGCCAAATCGCTCGCCAAGCGTGGCAATTATGGCAACACACCCCCCCATAAGCAATGACATTAATAAACGGGCCCCAGTCCCCGGCGGCCCCGCTACTCCTGGCTACGGTGGCGACCATGGTACGGCGGGGCAGGGGCTGCTAAGAATCTCCGGTGGAGGTTCGGTTGCCACCTACGACGACTCTACCTAGCAACTTATAACGCACGCACCCTGAGGACTGACGAGAAAATCCTAGAGCTGGAAGAAGAGATAGACAAGTTGCGCTGGAATATCATAGGATTATCCGAGGTCCGGAGAGAGGGGGACGACACGGTAATCCTCGAATCCGGCAACTTGATCTATCACCGGGAGGGCGACCATCTGTCCCAAGGGGGTGTCGGATTTATCGTCCACAAGTCTCTCGTTAACAACGTTGTGAAGATTGGGAGTGTGTCGACGAGGGTTACGTACATTATACTCAGAATCACCAAACGGTATTCGCTGAAGGTCATACAGGTTTACGACTACAACTTCGGCACACTCCGATAAGCAGGTGGAGGAAATGTATGAAGATATCTCTAGAGCCATGCATTCCTACAAAACCCACTATACGGTGTTAATTGGAGACTTCAACACAAAACTAGGTACAAGAGAAAACAGTGAGCTGAAAGTAGGTAAATTCGGAATAGGGCAACGGAACCCAAGGGGCCAGCAACTGGCCGACTTCATGGAGAAAGAGGGACTCTTTATGATGAACTCTTTCTTCCAGAAGCGGCCCCACAGGAAGTGGACCTGGTCGAGCCCCGACGGTTCGACAAAAATGAGATTGACTTCATTATGACGACCAGACGACAACTGTTCAGTAATGTCTCCGTGATCGCGAGGGTGAAAACTGGTAGCGATCACCGAATGGTTAGAGGCACACTGAACCTAAACGTTAAGTTGGAGAGGTCCGTCCTCCTCGTGCTCTGTTCCTAAGTCCCGAAACCTTTCAGCTCGAGTTACAAAACCGTTTTCAGTACCTAAAAGACTGCAACGAAGTAAACGATATGAATGACAAGCTCGTGGAAACTGTCTATGCGGTCGGAGCTAAGTTCTGCAAGACCCGCCGCAGAAGAACACAAAAACTCTCCGATCACACTCTTAATCTCATGGCTGTTAGACGGGAGATTAAGCTACATTTTTCAACAGATTTGACAGCATACAGGCAACTGAACAGACAGATCTCCAAATGAATGCGGTGGGACTTACAGCTTGTATTGAAGAAGCGATCGAGCGGAACCAAGGCTCCAAAGTCTTTGCCAGAGATCTGTCTGCCAGAAAGAGCCAACTGTCAAAGCTAAAGACCAAGTGTGGCAGCATCGTTTCCGAGACACCTGAGATTGAGAGGTTCTATAGGCAGCTGTACACGTCATCGTTGGAGCCACACGCAAGAGTGAGTAACGATCCAAGAGCGAGTCTTATCGGACACTATTCCGAAGATATCCCGGACGTCAGTCTAAGAGAGATTAGAATGGCTCTCCACCACCTTAAAAACAGTAAGTCCCCGGGCGAGGATGGAATTACAGCGCTTTTGAAAGCGGGTGGAAAACCGGTACTTGAAGTCCTTCAGAAGCTCTTTAATTCCGTCCTCCATGATGGCACTACTCCGGAGACGTGAAGCAGAAGTGTGGTGGTCTTGTTCTTCAAGAAAGGCGACAACGCTCTCTTGAAGAACTACAGACCGATTTTCCTTCTGAGCCGTGTCTACGTGCTGTTTTCGAGAGTCATTACGAAACGTCTCGCGCGCAGTCTTGACGACTTCCAGCCTCCCGAACAAGCCGGTTTCCGAAAAGGCTTTAGCACCATAGACCACTTACATACCCTTCTGCAAATTGTACAGAAGTCCGAGGAGTACAATTTGCCACTATGTCTGGCATATGTAGACTATGAGAAAGCCTTTGATTCCGTCGAAATTTGGACGGTGCTGCAGTCCCTTTAGCGGTGCCAAGTTGACTGTCGGTATATCAAAGTGCTGAAGTGCTTGTACAGTAGGGCTACGATGGCTATCCGAG